ATTATTTATTAATATTAATATACTGTATTTATAAGACTCTAAAAGATATATATTTACTTTACTTTTTGATTTCAAAATTTATTAATAATTTAATAATTTATTTTTCAAAACTATAAATATTTTTATTATAGAGTAAAGAAAACTTATTTTTCTATAGCAAAAATTATTAATATGAGTTGATTATATAAATCTTTTTATAATTTTAAACTTTAAATATATAAAAAACCTTTTATTAATTTTACTTTAATGTCTAATCTTACTATATTTTTATTTAATTATTATTATTTACAATATTAACATCTTTATTAATTGTCAGATTCTTTGTAATTCTTGGCTCTTCAAGAGTTAATAAATATATAAGATATAGCTTTCTATTATTTTCTGGTTTTCAAGTTGCTTGTCTATATCTTTAATATTTTATAGTTTGAATATTCTTCTCTATTTGTATAAGACAATTTTAATCTATTATAGCCTTAATATATAATCAATTATTGTCAAATTTCTCAGAACAAATCTACTTAAAGGTCTTTATAAATAATTTCTAATTTGATTCAACATAAATATAAGCCTCTTTATTTAGATTTTTTCTATATTAATATTATAACTATCTAGTAAACTATTAGTAATAGCTTTAATACTAGTAAACTGGTATATCCTTTTGTCTGTACTTAATAAATACTAACTATTTAACAAATTTATATGATTATGAAATTATTTCTTATTGTTTTTTCATATGTAACAATATAAACATATTTATTTAAATTAAAGCTTAGCCAATAATTCTCTATAAATACATATTATTTATTTACTCTTCTCAACAATTTCTCGCACCAACTTTTCTAGAAAGCCTAAGCTATAAAAACTATACAGTTACTATGTTTAAATACTACAAAACTTTACTAGTAGTAGCTAGGGTTAGCAGCTATTTACTGTATATTGGCATAACTAAAATAGAGTTAAAAGGAGTCTCTTTTGTAAGCAAAGTCTTCTGGCAAAAAACTCTGGTGCTACTAAGTGAAAAAGTAGCAAACGAGCTCTGAAGCTTTGTTAAGTACTATAAAAGTTTTGACAGAAGTAGCTATTTAGTTAGATATATTATTCTGTATGGCATAACTCTTATCATCCTCTTCAAGTTGGCTACCTTTTACTCTCTTTTCTATCTCAAAGTTTTTTTGACAAAAAGTGAGCAATTTGGTTTGCCACTTACAAGTGATCAACAGTGTTTACACAAACCAAATCGGGAACTGGAAATCATATATACTTCTTTATATGTGTTTGGAATAAACAATATGTATACCAATTGCATATAGTATATTAGTTTTGGATAATATAAAAACTTTAATACTTAGTACTATATAATTTTTACTAGGCTACTATAGCCAAACTACACACTGCATATTTTTTTCTTTTCTTTTTTTATTTTTTATTTTTTTTTTTTATATATATTTTCTTTGTCTTCTACAAAGTGTACCTGTCAAGGCTATTTTATTCTTTTTTTTTACTTTTTTTATCTTTGTCTATTTATATTAGAATTACTTTTAGAACATATTTTTTTTTCTTTTTTTATATGTTTTTTTTTTTCTTTTTTTTCTTTCTTTCTAAATGTTATTTTTTTTTCTTTTGTAAACATAGCATTTATTTTTCCCTTATATAGAAGTAAAAGATAAACTATTTTGCTCAGACCTAGGTTGAAAAAGTTTTAAAAAAGAGAATAGATAGTCTTGATAGGCTAGCAAGAACCTTTTGTTAATATATTTTTTTTTTTATTTGCAGAAAGAAATTTTTATAAAGTAAAATCCCTGCTTATAGCAAATCATTCATAGGTGTCTTTTGAATAACTAGGTGAGCTAAAACTTGTAAATTAGATGTCACTAGAATTAGTCTTTCAAAAAATTTTAATATTTCTTAAAATAATATTAATTATCTTAATAAAGTTGATGCAAGATTGCCAAATTTTCAAAAAAAAAAAAAACTCTCTATAAATTATAATTATAAATTTAATCTATTATTTTATAAACTAATTTAATTATAACTTATTACTAAATTATTAAAAAAAATTTTAAAAAAAATTTAAAAAATAAATACAAATATATAGTACTTTATTGTATTATTAATTATTATTATTATTTTTTTAAGTGTTAAGGTGATTTCTTAAGTTAGCGAGTTTTTATTAAGTAACTTATAAGTATTATACATTATGACAAGGATACAACTAGCCACATATATACTTTTGGTGCCTAATTTAAGTAGCCTGCCTGAAGGTTTTATACTATTTGCCATATTTGCAATTCAACTACAGGGTTATCCATTTAAACTTTTTGATCACAACATACTACTTATTTTTACTTAATATGGATGTAACTCATCTATTTTATATATAGATTTTTGCAACATCACTATATTACTAGCCACTCTAGAACTAATTTATCCTTGAAGTAAACCATACATATTCTATATATGTATTCATCTGCATGTTCAATAATTTTTTTTTAACTCATAACTGTTGTGCTACTACTATTGGGTTCATATCTCAGGCTACTCTTTAGGATACTGCTATAACCCAGTCCATATCTTAAGCCACAACCTTTCTAGTTAGTCTTTAGTTATTTACTCCTTGCTTTTGTGAGTTTATACAACCCTAGTATCTATATTTAGACTTTTTTTTTTCTCAGATTCTTTACCAGTCTCTCTCTTACTTTTAGCTAGCAACTTGAAAGAGTTGGTCTGCCCAGGTTTTAGGTATCTTATAGTTACCTTCCTTTTGATACATGCTTTCAGAGTATATGTTCTTTTTTTTTAGTTAGCAATTTGGCAGTTTGGCTGATATATCCTCCACTTAAGAACCTGGTTACTTGGTTTTCTAGACTCAGTCTCTAATTCTAAATTTGGCCTTCTTGTAGCACCATTGAGGGTTATGTTATCTTCCAACTTGGGACTTGTCAAATGAGTTTTTAGTTATTCTGGTTTCTTGGATTTATTGTACCAAAGCTTCTATTCAAGATGATATTACCAAGATTACAGATTAGGATCTAACTGATCAGTGATAACCATTAATCATATCACAGAGCTAATTTTCAAAAATGTTGTCTATAAGATTTAAACTCTAGACCTGCTGTCTGGGGATACGACAACTTCACTACTTCACTAAGTTACTACACCCATTATTGTACTATTAATTATATACCATGCTATACTTTTATCTAACTACTATACTATGCTCAAATCTAACTATATCAACTATGCTCAAATCTAACAATCATATATAACTAAATATAATTACTATGTTATGCCCAAATCTAACTATCATGCTATATTTATTTTAATAGTTATACTACCTTCTATTCTAACTATCATTACTATATTTCATTTTAACTATCTTGTTATATTCATTTCACTATTGCTATATTCTATTTTAACTATTGTATTACATGCTATCCCAACTATTATGCTATATCCCATTCTAACTATTGTGCTATGCTCATCCTAACTATCATACTATGTTTATTCTAACTATTGTACTATATTCATTCTAACTATCTTACTACATTCATCTAAACTATCATGCTACATTTATCTAAACTATCATGCTACATTTATTCAAACTATCATACTACATTCATCCAAACTATCATGCTATGTTTATTCTAATTATCATACTACATTCTTTCTAACTATCATGCTATATTTGTTCTAATTCTTTTTTACTATTATACAATGTTTATTTTAAATATTGTACTATATTAGCTCTAACTATCTTGCTAAGTTTGTTCTAATAATTGTGTTATGTTTGTTTTAACTATCTTGCTACGTTTGTTCTAAAAAAAAAAATAACCGTTTATTAAAAAAATTTTAGTAGTATAAGTTATATTATATCAAGTCTTCTAAAATATTTTATTAATATATATACATTATTTCAGATTATTTTAGTATTTTAGTATTGTTTATCACACATGACTGATCTTAAATAAATCTAACCAATCAAATCATTTAAAACATACAGACGAACAGACATTAAAATTTTAGTAGTATAGATTACACCTAATATTGAGCCATAAGAGAACAGTATTATGTATTTAGTAACATATATATATTCATCTGATATTGAGCTATGGGAGAACAGTATCATGCGTTTAATAATATAATATATATTTCACCTGAGTCATATGTTTTATCTAAGTATTAATATTTTTTTACTTCACATACTTAGCTATAAAATTAATAAAGTTTTTATGTATTACTATTATTCGATTTTTAAATGTGTTTATACAAGACTTTTTTTTTATTTACTATGATTATCTACATGTGAAAGTTTTGACCTTATCATTATGTAGCTTATAATTTGTTTGTAAGTTTGTATAATAGCCACATATAGATTATTTTTTTTGTTAATATATAATGATGAAAGAAAACAAAATTATATCGAAAAGTGGCATATATTTAGAGAGTGGAAGCATGGGTATAAAGTTTGTAATAAATGCAATTACTATTCATACCTATATTGCAAAATATACAAAAAAGTGGAATATACAAGCAATGTGAATATAATAATTCTCGAATAATTAACATTAGATAAAAATAAATGAGCTGTCCCATATTTGTCTCACAATTACCCTAAATTCGATCAATCACCTCATGACATATATATCATATTTATTCATATAACCAAACATTTTTTATGAATTTTATTTGCAATGCTCTTTAGATATACCCAAAGAAAAAATTAATACCAAGCTTCCAAAATTGGCAACTATCTTGATACAAAAAATAAAACACCAGAAATCGAAATAACTTTTATTGAAATAAACAAAAAGCTTAGTGCACATATTTTCAAAGTTAACATTAATTTCACTGCAGAGATTAGCAATATTAAGAATGAAATCTATTTCAACTTCATTGCAGAGATTGACAAAATTAAGCATGGTAAACTTACTGCAGGAATTGAAAAAAATAATTCATGTGATGTTGGTTAGATACAGAAAATAAGATCAATAATTAGTAACATGACTACAAGACTTGATGAAATCGAACAAGAATATCAAACCAAATTTCATCAGTTTGCCACAGTTAATGCTACTATTCAAGTTCTTGTAAATAATATGGCTCGACAAAATGTAGATAGCATGCTTGCTTAAAGAACTTAGTCTCTGACAGATCTGATCAGGCCAACCAACCCGAAGCTTTAAACAAATATAAAACTTCAAGCCAATCTGAAACTTTATATATAAGCTATTCTTCCAGAAGTCTATTATCCAATTTATCTTTTTTGAAAATATTGAGATCCATTTTAAAGAAGTTTTTAATTTGTTTAGAAGAGATTATTTTGTTGACTATATAAGTGAAACTGTAATTTGTGCTTATCAATGAGAAATAATTTGCCTATATCTGGCTTGTAATAAAAAAATTAAGCATCAAACTTCTTAAAAAAAAAAGTAAAGAAATAACTTTAATTCTGGAACTCATATTAAATGGTCTAGAATCTCTTTAGCATTATATATTTCATTCACTACTTCTAACTAAAAACAAAGTTTTGCCTATCTTTTTTAACTGTGTATTTTTAATTTTAAAACTTGTTAGAAAACAATAAAATCTTTATTATACTATAGGATACAAATAGATAGGAGGCTAATGACTACCAAGAAATAACTTGGATATTTACTGATTCATAACTTTACCGCCAATGCCTGGACAGATATAAAGTTATGGCTTTTCTCAAGTATTACTAGAAAACAATTTTAAAAAACTGTTGTAAGTTCTGGAGCAAATAAATTATCGAATATAGTTATGCATCAAAAATGTAACTTTTGTCACATACACAGACAGACATCCATATGCATCAAAAACACAATTTTTGATGTACTTTACTTATCTATTAAATGTTCTTCACTATGCTTCAAACAAAAAGACACAAAGGAAGTTCTTACCACCAATGTCTGGATAGTTATAAAAACTTCAGCAAAATTAGTAGATCAACTGCTACCACCAATACCTGACAGATACAGTAGTTGTTAGCCACAAAGCAACTCATAACTTTATCGCCAATGCCTGAACAAACATAAAGCTATAGCATCTTTTATTAGAGTGTCTCATATCACAAATATAGTAGAGATTATATAGTGATGATCACTAATAAAGATTTTTTCTAATTAAATTTTATAGATCTGCACTCTATATTAAACAATTAAAAAAAATAGACTTTACTTCACCTTTAATTCCTCCCATAATATTTAACATTTTTTAATTCTGTAAAAGCAAACCATTTAATGAAAGGCACCTTTATATCGTAACAATATCAGATTTTTACTTATCTTTTAATAACCAACTAAAATCTACTAAAATATATTAAAAAGCTATTTATTCTCATCAAGATATTAGTTTCTTGCAAATTTTTTATTAAAAAACAAAAAGACTGAACAAATTCAAAAAAATATAGAAAGTATTACCATTTTGACTAAAGATCTATCATACAATAGCTTTTAATAGTTACAAACAATAATTATCTATAATAATGATATTACAATATATGTTTGGGTTAAAAAGTTTAGTTTTATATACTTATATTATTTTATTAAAATACTTTATGTAGAGTTATATATTAATTCAAGAGAACATTAGATTCTAGTTTATAAGACATTAATACGACTTATAAGAATGTCCAAAAATAAAGGATAGATCATTGTACTATATGGTTTTTATTATTATGACTGTAGTTAGTTTTAGATTTCCAGATAAGAAAATTGTTAAAAATTTCATAAGCTTGTTCTTCTCTGGAATTATTACTATTTTCTATATTTTTACTAATCTCAAAGTTTTTTATATCTTGCCAAATATTTTGCAACATATCTTGAGAAATATTTTGAAGCCCACCATCTGAACTAGAGAGTTGGATACGTGATTCTTGTAACTTAGCATCCATATTTGGGTGGACTTTTATATCATAATGATTAAACAATCCCTTTAATTGTTGTTGATATACCACAATACTCCATATATGATATTTAATAAATTTATATATTAGAGAGAATTTTATTAGTTCTACATTGGCAGAATTTGCAAACATTTCAAACTTTTTAAAAAAATCATGTTGTAATAGTGCTTCAAACAATTTAAATATATTTGAATATCCGTTAGATAAATTTTCTTTTAAAAGCTCAACATAGGAGATTTCTCTTGAAGAAAGAATCTTTGATAAATCTTTATTAAAAAAAAACTTTTAAAAAGGCAAGTGCAAACTCTGGTTTACTTTCTCCACCTAGTCGAAAAATACTTAAAGGTAAATCCAAACCTTTATCCATTTAACAAATCCGTTTAATGCATTTTCTATCCCTATATATAATAACTCATAAAAATTTTCAAAATCAATTACATTAAACTTATTCTCGGCATCAACTAATTTATCTCTGAATAACTTATAAATATCTTTTAGATAATATTGAAGTTCTTTGATCCAAAAAATAATTTTATCTAGCATTTTATGTATATAATTACCTGATAGAGAAGTACTTATATTATTTGGTTGGTAAATTTGTAGTGTAGGATTATGTCCGATTAAAAAATTATAAACAGGCTCATAAAACTTCTGACCAAATTTAACAAGATATCGTATCTGAAGATTAAAATGCTTATTTATAAGCCACTTAAGAAAAGTTCCCTATTTATTTAAATATGTTTTTGGAACATTTTTGGCATTTTTAAGATGTTTGATAAAAAATTGTGCAAAACAAATATAAGTTTTACACCTATCAAGGTATTGTTTTGCAGTTTTAAGTTCATATAACTACTATTGATGAATAGGTTGTTGGTACTTGGTCATTTCAAAATTAAAAAGTATATTATAAAGTTTTTTTATTATTTCAGATTTTAGATTTAATGGACTGTCCTTATCTAAAAGATCGTACCTATCATGAAGATGAAAAGTGAGATTAAGTAAATTAAATGGATGTTCTTTTAATAATAATCCTTTAATAGAATCCAATTTTTCAAATACTTTATTTTCAAAATTTATTAGAGCAATATAGGTTGCGTATAATCCACAAGGAATACGAAATGATTTAGAGGCTGCTAATAAATTAAATTTCACAATTGTACTATTGGCCTCTGAAGACATATAAGCCATATTGTTAGTTAGCCAAAAGTAACACTTTTGGGGATCAATCCTTTTTTGTTTACATATTTCATATACTGTAGTTTAAATTATTTCAGCATTACAATATGTTATATCGGTTACTTTGACAATGGTAATTATTGGCTTATCTTTAATATTATTTCAATATGAAAAACAAATAATTAATACTTTTGTTTTACCTTGTGTACTTTCTAAGCCATAATACCATAACTGAAAAATCTAGAAGAAGTCTCTTTAGAACTATTTTGATTAGAAGTTATAGCTACAATTTCATTATTCCACCATGATAAAGATATTGATTTTACCCAATGTTGTGGTATTTCTCTAGTCAAGAATTGATATATGGCTTTAGTACATTCTACTATCACGTGTATTGAAGTTTAATCTATATTACTTATATTAGTAGCTAATTTTACAAATTTGACATTATATTCTTTATTATTAGATTTAAATAATTTGCTGGCTACATGTTGAAATTGAGCAGAATGAATTTGTTTGGCTTTACGAATAAAAGTTCTAATTTTTGAAACTTGTTTTAGTCTTGACTGTTTTGCTCTTGCAAGTCGTACCGAGAATAAATGATGTTAAGTACTGGTGAAATATTTATTTTTTTTTAAGCGTTGATTTTCTTGTCTTAGATTTTTATTTTTTGATTCTAATATATCAATAGTACAACCATGTTTATAGAGACTAGTATCAAAAAATTTATATGCCTTTTTTTATAAATATATAAAAATTATCTCTTCTTTATTATTTTCTCAAGGATAGATTATAGTTTGAAGAAGATTTAACACATTATATACTTGTTAATCAGATAAATTACAAATACAGATAAATAAGTCATTATATTTTCTTTGAATATATATATTCATTTTCTGGAATTCAAAGTTTTTTCTTATTTTAGAATTAAAGTTGGTATCATCTAGTTGATTGAATATTGGAATTAGTTAATCAAGTAACTCTTTTTGAATATAGGTGTTTATTTCATGAGATCTAAAGATATTTTTTATTCTAGAAATAAAGTTATCATTATTCATTTAAATGAATATTAGAATTAGATGATCAATCAAATTTTTCTGAACATTAAAATTTATTTTCTGAGATTCAAAGAATTTTTTTATTATAGAGCTAAAATCGTCATTACTTAATTTTATAAATATTGGAATCAAATGATTAAGCATCATTAGAGGAGTATTTTTAATCTCTTTAAAGGTAGAGAGTATTACATGATAATCACTTGATTTGTTATTAGGAAATTTTTTTGGGTAGTACAAGATTTGCTTGTGTAGTACAATATACAGTAAATAATATATAGACGTAATTGATTTGCTATTATAAAATCATCTACTATATGATTACTATGAAAAGTAATTTGTGTACCCTCTATCCTTAAATATTTTTCATTGTTTACATTTTTGTAAATTTTGACTATTTTTAAGTTGTTTCTTTCATGAATTTGGTCGACCTATTATGGAATGTTATGAGTGGTTTACAATTACAAAATATGATGGGATTCAAGAAGTGGTTCTTTGCACTTAGGATTAATAAATTTTATTAGAAAAGTATAGATAATTTATTATTTATCTATCAAATTTATTCTTCTCTAATACAAATATGCTCTTTTTATAATTGTAAAATCATAAAAATTATATAGAAATCATGAATCAGAAGTTGCAATTGACAATTAAAATATGAATATTACTAAAAGACAAAAATAACATAATTGGGTTTAAAGAGTTGATGATTATTGATTGTTTTGATATTTGTAGCATTACACTTTTACAGTATTACAAGTATATTTGTATTTATATTCACATATGTAGTAACAATAATACATATTTTTTTTAATAAATCAGTTATAAAAAATATGTGAGTTTTAATATATTTATAGTAAATGACAAAGAAAAGCCAACCTTATTATTTAAATTCTTATATGCTTAATAAATTGATGCAGTTTTTATTTTTATTATATTTTTTAATTTTAATATATTTTTTTTCTTTTGCAGCAAATAAAACAATACATATTATTTACTTATAATGAATTAGTCAATAATTTACTGAGAATTGATTATTTCTATTGCACATACTTAAAAATTATCTAGATAAAAGTAACAATAGATGAACTTTTTATTTAATCCAATTTAAACAAAAATCCAAAAATGTCTTTTGATTCTTAATAATTAGTTTATTATAAAAAAAAAGTGTATAAATAAATTGAATATAACAGGAATTATAGAAGATTTTTATACAACTTTATTGGAGATTGTTACAAAAATATCCTAATATGCAATTATTATTCCAATATGCAATTATTATCCTAATACACAACTATTAAAAAAAGCTAATTGTAAATACAAATTTAAAAAATGCTTCAAAATTAATAAGATCATAAATCTTTTTAACATATCGATACACATTAATAGCTCTCTAAAAGAAAGATATATAAATGCTAATATCAACTTTCATAATGTAATACAAAAAACTTTAAATAATTTT